TGTCATCACTGTCCGAACTATTAGAGTTCTCCTGAGCCATGAATGCAAAACTTGAGACGGTCGAAATACTTTGATGTTTTTCATTTTCGGTAGAAACATTGACGGACTCATTCCATTTGCTTTGAGGATGAGTTGTTTTTGATTTCAAAGTTTTCTTGTAAAAGACACAATCTTTGATCATATGATTTTTCCTGCCGCAGTGATAACAGGCTTTAAAATTATTTCGATTTGCTTGCTTTGGTTTTTGTCTAAAGTTTTTCACAAATTTAGAATTTCTGAATTGTCTTTTTCCTTTGGGAGCACTGGTAGCACTGTCACTTGCTTGGAGAATTTTCGCGCTGTTGTCAGATTGATCAGTTTTTAATTTTAGTTCGTGATCTAACAATTTTATTTTAACGAACGCGACACTTAAATTGTCATCACTCAATGTTTCAATCGCTGTGATGATACCATTATAGGCCGGGGGGAGGGTCACAAGAAGGTGAGCAATCTTGTCTGATTCCTCTAACACTGCACCGGCAGCTTGCAGTTCGGTGAGCAGATCATCAAATTTAATAAAATGCTTTATCAAAGCAGTATCTGAGTCAAACTTCAGAGAAAATAATCGCTTTTTCACGGCGATTTGAGCGGCAATACTCTTTCTTTCATATAGGTCATCCAAACTTTTTATAACCTCCTGAGCCGTCCGCTCCGGAGTTGCGAAATGCAGATGAGAATCTGCTAAATTTTCAAGCACGATAGCTTTTGCCAGCACATTTTTGGCCTGCCAGTCACTAGATTCACTATTTTCACTAGATGGTCCATCAATCACATCAATTAAATTTTTCTTCGTTAACAGCCCGCGAATTCGAAGTTTCCATATGCTGTACTTTTCACCATTAAATGGTTTAATGTTCTTTTTAGACTTAAGGTCCATATTAACACTTCAAAGTCACTTCACTTTCAAATAAATGCTTCAAAGGACCAAGTAAAAACGACCTGGGCCCATAACCCGTAGGGATGCAGGGAAAAATAAGGGATTTACGAAATAAGAACACTCGGTTCGGTGTATCGACTTTTTCTTATATTGCACCGGAGGTTATGAAAAAACTCAGCTGATGAGAATCGTATTAATTTTTGCTCTTACGGCATTGCCATATTTCAACTAAAACACGTGTGATGGGACGAGATAATACCTGAACTGGATTAGACCAGATAACAATCGGCGTGCTTCAACGTTCATGTTTTCCACGCCCGCATTGATTGACCTTGAACTCTCCTCGAATTACGCGCAAAACTGCGCGCAAGTGTCGGCCATGATGAATATCGCCGACGATGGAGCGACTCCTCTAACAAAATGTTCACCTGTGCCGTAGTATTGTTTTTGAAGCGGGAAGTTTAAAAAAATGCAAATTTCTTACGCAGATTGTGAAGTTATGAGTGCATTTCAGACTTTGCCGATGCGCTCATCGTGATTTCTGAGGCATTATCTATAAGAAACAACTCTTATTTTTGCCCTAGCAAAAGTTTGCAACAGGCCCATTGGACTACATTTTGCATTTGGGAGTTACATTTTTTGGCTTATCCGTAAAAACACTTATGTGCATTGGAAAACTAATACTACATGTGTTGTTCCTTAGCTGAGCCAAAAATTATAGTTCCTGATTGCAAAATGCAGTCCACTTAAAAGAGGGTTACTTTGAATCCATCCAACGTCTCACCGAACAGGTGATAATGTAGTTATGTATGATACAATGAAGTAGAAATATGGTTGGTAGAGTGAGACTTTGGGTTCATTGTATTTGAAGTTAACTGTGATTAATTAATGTTCAACGCTGGATGTGTGTAATCCGAAATAAAATTGTATTCGGCTTAATATTGAATATTTTTTTACCTATGTTTCGTCTAGTCATATAATTTGTGCAGATAGTCAGAGTTTTAAGAGGAATATTTAATATATTGAAATAAAAGTGTCAATTTAAACAGTTCTTTAACGCGATCTCTCTGAAGTACCCCTCCCCCCCTCTCCTAAAGTATTAAAATCCCTAGAAATCACTTGAAATGACGCACGTTATGAGTACCCGCGGTCATTAACGTCTCCTCTGCGTAATAATAATGATAAAATATGAGAAAAAATAGTTTCAACCCGTAGATGCACAAACCAGATCGAATTGACCCGAGGCATGCAAAAAAAAACGTGCCCCGCAGGTAATTTAGGATCGGTCGGGTACATACGATAGAGTGGAGCATTGCGAGTTCACGCCTCTCGCCATCGCGCCTTCAATTTTGCAGATGCCACACGGACATCCATCAAGTACGAATAGTTGTATCTCTGCGCCGTCGTCAACGCGCGTCCTTTTCCTCGCTCTATTTCCGTATTGTGTTGGCTCCGTTTGTCTTATTTGGGATCGGGGGCTTTGAGGGCAGGGCACATGAGTGCTGTTTTTGCTATTTCGAGGAATACGTGTTCAAAGTTTTATAATTTCATGGAGCCTTACAGCGGAAAGGAAGTTAAAAATCACTTTCTTATGCTTTAAAGTTGGATTTAAGTTGTGAATTTTTCACAGATTATACTTTCAAACCAAACTTAGTTGAGTTTATGAATATCTCAATTTTCCCAAAAGCAGCACTTATGCGCCTTGTCCTCCAAGCCCTACAATTGCATTTTCTCCCCTCATAATATCGACAAAAAAGGGTGAAAAAGAATAAGGAAGAGGAAAAAAACTTCTTGCATTTTTTTAAACTGATGAAAACTAATTTTTAAACTGTATTTTCTTACCTCATTGCACATTAATTTTTACGTTTAAATAAAAAGCAGATGTTCTGTCGATATATTTAAAAAAAAATCACTCAATGTAAAAAATTGCCCGTTTCAGTGTTTACCAGGTATAACTCAGGGAAGGTAAGATTCTGATACCTGGTTATAAGACTTATCGTTTTTTCAGGACATCGTTTTATGACATTACAGGCATTGCTATCGATTCTTCGGTACCTATTTTATTTTATCCTTCGGAACACAATATTGTCATTGTCATTTTAATCGATGCACACTGAACCGAGTCATTAGAAGAAGTCAAACAACATCTGGAAACATTGAAAGCTCATGTTCTCGAAAATAGTCTCGAAGTCCTAGCATCCGTAATTAGTAACGTTTAGCATACACTTTATCGCCTGGCTGTTGCTTAATCGCCATCAGCTATAAAAGGCTATAAGAAATTGTGTTGCCGGCTATAGAAGCTATTAGAAATCTTACAGCCGGCTAGTAGGTCTATGGTATTTTGGAACACAGATTCTACTGCCAATTATTTTTACCAGGGACGTTAATGATGAGATTTCCATCGTTTCTTCGATAATATTAATATCATATAGAAGTCGTCGCTCAGGTGAACGTACCAAAACGGCAAAATTTTTGTGAAAACACGGAAATAATGTAACTCCTGGACGTAACTAATTTACAGTGTTTTCCCCTTAGCGCATCCTCCATGTCCTAAACTTTTAAAATCTTCTCTCCTGTTTGAGACGAATAGATGTGCAATTTTGGCGTCGTGCCACTCTGCCTCTAGCAGTCCTAGCAACGTGATTTCAAGCTCGATAAACTACAAATTAACCAGTTGGCAACAGAGTTGAATCATTCCTTCAGCACAACGTGTTTAAACTACCTTGACTTGGACACGAAAAAGCAGAATTGCTGCCCTACAATGGGACAAAACGAGAGCACCTGTAAGTCAGGAATAACTTGGCCAGGAATTTATATTGGAGGTGCCAATCTTTCAGTCCACTAAAAATTAGTGAGGGATGCGGCATTGTACTTAAGAGTAGTTTAAGTCGGTAAAATCAGCATGGAAGAGGTGCTAAAGTTTGATGATGAAATTACCAAACCTCGGATCTAGATTGCGGTGTTTACAAATTTTGGCTCTTATTTTATTTTTGTGAAGAGAATACCAATTAATTTATCCTCTTCTTCTTCTTTTCTTTTTTTTATTCGCACGAAATTTTTGGAGAATATATTGTCAGGAAAACATAAAAAAATCAAACGGAATCTTCAACAAAATTAATGATCAGGCCCTTTTCAGTAAAGTAATATTAAAAGGAGAGTTGCAACGTTGCATTCTATTGTACATAGTCTGGCTTCACCATCGATATCGATTTACTAATCAACGAAGCGAGAGCAAGGCAGCATTTGTCTACCAACATAACAGTGGAGACGCGTGAATTATCGATCATTGATATTTCCTGGTTTAAAGCTATGGTAAAGAATCGATAACTAAGGTGTTGGTTGCGAACACCCTGTTTATCGATCCTTTTCCATAGGTTTGAATGGCAGATCAATCAATATATATCAAAGCACGCCACGCCACTGCTATTTACCGCTATCACGAAAACAATACATTTTAAAACAGAGGAGGAGGTATTTCTGTGAATGAATCCCTACACTTGATTTGAAGATTTTGATGTTAGGGGTCATCCCTACATCCCTACGTTACATTACGCTGCACGGACAGGGTGGGTGAGTTATCAAACAATGCGTAACGTAACGATAATGAGTGACTTTTGTCAGATTTTCAAAGTGATTTTTGCTCCGTTTTCGTCAGAAATTTTTATGAATTGGCTCCTGAGAAAGAAAGCTCTCAGCAGAAAACTGTCACGCTGTTCTTTTGTTAGTTTATCAGCTTCAGTTATTTCTGACATGCCTTATAGACGCCAACCCTTCGTTTAATAGATGTACTTCAATTTTTGGAGATGTTTGTAATTTTAGTGATGGAGGGGAGAGGAGATCGAGCAAAAGAAAATTATTAGGGAATAGGGATGAAGATTGAAGAGGTATAAAAAAAAAACCATCAATTTATGTATACGTATATTCTCTACTCATTTCTTTCCATCATGGTGTATTATGGTCTCAAATATAAGTTATATAAGAAATTACTAATTTGTCATTTTTTCAAAAAATACAAGTGGCACTCTGCACTGTTTTTTCTTCTTTCAAATTTCATCACATAAATATATTTTTGAACTTTTGGCAGAATTCTCGGTAGTATTCCTAACGCATACGCACTAACCAAGGCTATGGGCGAGGAGGTAGCTCAAAAGGAAATGTCGGAACTGCCAATAGCTATTTACAGACCATCAATTGGTAAGATATGAACCGTCGCTGTTACATGTCAGTAGTATGAAAAAAATAAATGAATTAATTTTCAAATTGTTGTAAAAAAGGAAAAGGAATCAATATGATGCATTAAATAACATATTCCTTGAAAAATAAATCGACCAGGCTCAAAATTTTGCAAGCGGACGGAGCATTTGCCGCACGTCTTCTTTGCAGTGTTTCACATTAATGATAACTGAAGCAAGAGAAAAACTTTTATAATCAACTCCAAAACAAGAAGCGATTAAATATAGTAATTAGATAGATTTAAAGTAAATGCGCTCAACTACATAAGGATGTATGCCTTATTTCATAATGCCTTATTTTCATGCCTTATTTTAAAATTCATTTTTTCAAAACAAGGAAGCGTGTAAAATTCTAACTTGAAATTTTTTAGTTTTTTTTTTTTTTATTATATGAGGGAAATCTACAAATATTTTCAAAGCATTCTGTTACTTCGTCTCCTTTGAAAAAATTAAAAATGAGAGGAAACTAGGCTATTAAACGTGGTTAGACTGATCCAGATCAAATCCTCGCCCCTTTGACTTGAGGGCAAATCTCACGCGTATTTCCACTTGAACCCTGAATTACTTATAAATCCATGATTTCTAAGGCTCATACGGAAATCGCGATAGGTCCTCACGTTAGAGGAGCGACAAAATCCATCCCATTAATATTGATCAAATGTAAAATTTGAAAGAAAACTCTTTGTTTTCAGTTGGACTAAATTTTGCAATATGGAGACTATCTCTCGTTCCTTCTAGGAACAGCATATGTGCCATACGTTTCTCCATAAAGATACCTGCTTTTCCAGAAAATCCAGAAATATTCGTTTTCTATACTGCCGTGGTTAGGCAAAACGCCGTATGAACATTCAAAAATTGCCAAAGTTCCTCCGACAAAATGTTAAATTTTGAAGAGGGTCATGAATATTTGCTCATGGAATTTTCAGATATTTTAGGTCTGATTGTGAATAAAATTATTTGGAAAGTTGAATGCAAAATATTCGCAGATTTTCTGAAAAAAAAAAAAAAAAATAATAATTTTCTCAAAGGAAATTTGGCGACGTTTAAAGGCTCCTACGACGTTTTCCCTTAGCACGGCAGTATAGCAAACTGAAGTCCATGTAACCCTTTCATTGCTGTGCTAGAAATTCTGACGCGCATGCAGTCTCGTAAATAAAAATGCGTTTTGCATTTTTTTGTTCAAATTTTTTTATGAATTTTAGCTGTGTATTTTTCCAGTTATGAATTCGAATAAAGAGCCGCTTCGAGGGTGGAATTGCTCATTCCAAGGTGCCGGTGCATTGTTCCTGGGGATTGGGCTCGGCATTCTGCGAGCTATTTACGTGAACGCAACAAAACAAGCAGAGATCGTTCCGGTCGACAAATGTGCAAGCGCGCTCGTCGCAATTCCTTGGCATCTCCATGAATCACGGTGAAAAAAACATTCATAAAATACCTTCCGCAGTAGAGTAGCTATTACATTAGATCGATGTTAAGCTGGGAGCATTCTAAAATTTTTCAATTGTAATCAACGACCACAATGAACCGAAGACCCTTTACGCCATTAAAAATCACCATTCAAATCAGATTTACTCATAAAAACATTATGAAAAATTGTTATATTTAACTACATATCGACGGTGTAAGTCGGCAATCACATAACTTGGTTTGCGACGTCGCAGACTTCCTGTCATACTTTATTTTTTAAACGGGAAACTACTCGACGGCAATTCTTTAGAACTGCCGTGATTTTTCTTCTCGGTGCGAAAAAAATTCTGCAAAAACTTCAAGGAATGATGTCAATTTGTTCTCCTTTAAAAAAATAACATAGAGGCGGAGATATGCAGCGACACCGCAAACGAGATATGTGATTGCCGGCTTACTCCGTCGATTGCGATTTGAGTACTGATTCCGACGTAAAATTTCCCCTCTCCGAGGTGCGTTACGTTGGGTTAAGCAACTAAACTAACTTCTCTGTAAGGCATGAAGTATCGTACAAATTGAAGGCGCGCCGGAGCAAATTTTTGTTGAGAGCTCGTTGTTGAGGAAACTGGGGTATTCAGACACCGCAAACGAGTTATGTGATTGCTGACTTACACGGTCGATATGACTCTTTAAATTCGCACCTGAAACTAACGGAAAATTAATGAATAAGGGCCTTAGAGAATAAATGGGATAGGTGCAGTTTTTGCTAAAATTTCAAAATTACATAGAGCTTCGTGGCGGTGATAAAAAAGTTCAAACTAACTGTTTGATACGTTAATGGGATTTTAGGAGTGAATTTCTCTTAGGATATATATATAGCAACTAGTTTCAGCTGAAATCATTTATTTCTCAATATTTTAAAAACTGCACATATCCCACTTGATCTCTATGCCCCTGAAAAATGAAGCCTCTTATAGCAGCAACAATGATTCTTATGGATGAATCTTTTTGGAAGTGAGGCACAACCAAATAATTATAATTTACCATCACTGTTCAACCTTTAACCTATCAAATCTCTACTCATTTATTTCAACCTACATGTAATTTATTTGATTTTTTCTTCTTATATTTCTGTACCACAAGAAAAAAGAAAGGAAACCTGACTCCGATTTACAATCACGTCAATAATCGATTTCCAGTGACTTGGGGACAGACGTATTCTTACCTGCTCTATCATATACGCTCGCAGAAACTGGCTTCGAAGTTCCAAGTTTGGGTCATGCGCACTTCCTTTGAAAGCAACCGTTTTCTATACAACTTAAAATTCTTCCTCTATCATCTCCTACCGCTCCCTTTTTTAACAATGGTCGAGAGATTGCAAAACCAGCCCGCTAGGTGAGTATTTTGTGCATGAAATTTTGAACCTCTTACATCAATTTATTTTTCTTTCTGGCGGTCACTTTTTCTCATCAACAATATAATTATTCACAATTTCTTGTTATGTGTGGTATTCCTACTTGCACTACTACCCTAGTAAAAGTGAGTCAGCTTGACGTCGAACTTTGGAACAGAGTTATGGGGAAAATTTTGGAGAAAAATCCTCAAATTTGATGAGCTGCAGCGTCGAAAAAAAATCATTTTCAAAAAAAAAATTTACAAAACAAAAAAGTCTTACTTTGACCCAAAAAATCGATCCTTGAAGACTGGCGAATTACTCTTAGGGCACCTTGTATATCAGATACACAACTTTATCAATTTTGAGAACAATGCAATAAAAGAATTTTGAAAAAATAATAGCAGTTATTTACACAACTTCTCCTCACTCACAATTGTATAATCTAAAAACTTTGTTTTTCAATGTTTTCATTCATAATTTTTTCATTTTAACACTCCTCTGCAGGTTGCATAAAATTTATTTGAAAATGGCACTCCTGGGAAACGTGCTCAGTGATTTTACGCAAAATAACTGGAACTTTGAGGACTCTAATATCCAGCGTCTCTGGGCAAGCATGTCAGTTCCAGATCGGCACCTTTTTGACCTAGAAATATCCAACAACCTGGACTGGTTCACCTACTTCTCGTGCATTAGTAAGGGTTACGGACTTTACGTAATGAAGGAGACGTGGACGGATCTCGAACGCTCAAGAAAGAAGTTCCACACGTAAGTTTTTACCATACTTCATCAGTGGCGTAGCGTTTTTTTCGATATATATCGATTAATATGCCAATTAAACCTATGGAAAAGTATCGATAAACAGGGTGTTCGTAGCGAACACCTAAATAATCGATTCTTTACTATAGCTTCAAATAGGGAAATATCGATAATCGATTATTCGAGCTTCGCCACTAACGTTACAATGGAAAAAACTTGGAGAACATTTAATTGCCATTCAAGAATTTCCTCGAGAAAATTTTAATTGCTTTGCAAACAAACATTATATCTGAATCAAAGGGAAACTCTATTGAGCGTTTTCTGCGAGAAAATTCTAGTTCTTCTCGCTCTTGAATCAAATACTGTGCCTTTCAAAATCAACGTAATGTGTAATTGTAGTGTCGCAGTCAACGCGAACAATGAGAACCATAAATCTGCTCTGTTCTGTTTCAGGATTTTAATGTTGGATAAAATGCTGCAATTTTTTATCAAAGCAATCACAATCTATCTTGTGTACTTTGCTGGAGCTCTACTCTACAGGCGGTTCAATCACGCTCTAGCCGGAGCTTGGATTCAGAACTAGCTAACCAGCTAGATTACATTGAGTTACCTCTGCTCTCAGTCCTATAAAATTTGAAAAGTATTCCGAAATAATTCATGAATACAGTGTCATAGCTGGATAGTGTCAAGAAAATTAGTCAACGTCTACATTGAGAGTTTTGAGAAGGACCTACCTACGTGCAAAAATCGATGGCTTAAGTGCGAAGCAACGTATCTCTATTAATTGTGGTGTTTCAAAATGTCCGATCCTATTTTATTTTATTTTTCGAAGAGACATAAGCCATTTTTATAGCTTGAAATGTTTACAGAATGTTCTGCCAACGAAGAGGAAAATAATTAAGGAAGCTTCCGATGAAATTATGTTGACTAGTCTTTCAAGGAAACCATGAAAGATGACAAGCAGTCTCGAAAGTCACAAATGGAGGCAGTGGCGAATCCAAGAAGGGGGAGGGGGAATGGTAGCACCCCCCCCCCCC